AAATGTGTCGCGACTGTCTTGTCACAAGGGACAGCTTAACAACAAGTTTTCTCGGCAAGTTTTCAGTGTTGGTGGGTCTTTTGATCATGATGATATCGCTCACATTTTTAGTATTTATTTATTGATTTTCAGTTTTTCTATTCCTTCTATAATAGGTTCTGTTTGGTAACTACGTGTAGATTGCCTTTGAGTTCGTCCCCCCCATGACGTTGTTCCAAAAAGGGGGTATCGTTGTTTGCAGCACTCTTTGAAGAAAGCACTATCATCTTCGAAAACTTGCAGGCTCCCATTCAAAGAATGTTTATTGATTGATTTTTATTAAATTTTTATACACAAAACTTAAATATAATATTGTCATTATTATATATTATCAAATACTAGAGTTGTATAGACGAAAGATTGGTTGTTTGGTGGCCTTGAAAATCATGTCGATAGAAATGGGAAAACGCTGCTACCCATCTAATCATCCTGACGAATTCTGTTGGTGCTGAATGCATGGCGCACTCCAGAAGATCCAGAAGATCTTTTATACTTTCTCAAGGCTTTTCGATTATTTTCATCGATTCTGATTCGGGTTGGTTCAGCCGTAGGTACTGGGAATTCCGATTTACCCTTGTATGGAAAGAGTTTTCCCATTTAGCGGTTTTGGTCTCTTTGTTTACTTCTTTCGAACATCAAAATATTTTCAGTATCGTCTATCGATTAGCTTATGCTTGTCAATTATCAATCGATTAACACCGTTGAAGTTTAGATGTTACTTATCTCGCTTCGTAACCCATATATCCCTTCTTTGGTGGTCTCCGCCAAGGCATCGAAAGAAAGATACTAAAATCTCGGTAAGGTTCCGCTTTCCGACGGTTCCCTCAGAAAAAATCGGCGTCAAAGATTCCTTTCGGTGGTGCGCCACGTATTCGATTTCCAATCGCAATTGAAGAAACATTTGTATGAGCTAATTTGCGCAAGAAAATGGTGGCTTGCCGTTCTAATTCGAATTGTGGGTCATCGCGGATACTGGCTCGCTACCAAGTCTCTGACACGGAAGTACGAAAGAACTGATTGTCGTGGGCGGGATTCGATCCGGTATTTGGTTTGTAACCCATGTTTTGGTAACAGCGCCGTATGCCACTACGCTGGACGCCCGGTGCTTGCCTCGTTTCGTGCTTAATATAGTCAGCGTTCACAGTAGAAGGGCTGGTAGCCAAGCTTCCATCTTCATGAGGACGATACTGAAGCGCCCACTGGCGCGGCATACTATCTTTTCTCTAGGTTACGGAGAAAAAGTCCCTTAGGTCCCTCAGAATTCATTTGTTCTTGAATAGATCTTCACCATTCCTTTACATTCGGGGCTATCGTAAGGAGTTGGGAAAGTCTTTTAGGACAAACTAAAGGTTAAGAGGAGAAGTAGGAACCCGGTAAAGTTGAATTGTCAGCGCCTTGAAATCTCCCCCCCTTTTCCCGACCAAGTCAGCTGATCCCATTTTAACATTGTTTTACATTGTTCTATTTTACAGTCAGCTTTTCGAGGCATGCTGTTGGATTAGACGAAGAATTTCGAAGGAGATTTTTCTTTAGGAAGAAAGGCACACAGTGCATGACTCAAACGATTTCTCAACTTATCATTCTTAGGTCAGGCGTTCTCATGAATCACAGCGTGATGAAACATGGCGTCACCAAAATTTTTCTAGTGCAAGCCTCCCCCGTTTTTAACCCTCGTCGAGGGAGGCATTGCATGATAGTTTGGGAAACTTGGGAAAAAAGGAAATTTTCAAAAAGGGGACGGATCATATGAATCCATCTAAGAGGCACAGATCACACTACGGACATATTTTACCATACTGCAGTCAGAAAGCAGGACCTCCGGAAAAAGCCAAAGGCGAGTCGGGGCTCATGTATTTGGCGGCGGGGCATTGAAGTGAGTGAGCCAATACAGAATTGGGCTAAGCAAGGTAGCAACCTTTGCTTTTCTTGTGGGTTCTTATCCTATTATTTTTTTCAAGTTCTAGTGGTCGTTTACCAGCGATTTTTCAAAGTCCCCTAAGGACTTGGCGCGGATATCCTACAGGGCTCTGTGAAGCGATGAATTGTCTTGATCTTGAAAGTTCTCTATTTGAAAATATCTGAACAAACATGCCTAGGTGCCCTTTCTATGAATTCCTTGGGTTAGCGCAATTGCTCGACGTGGCTTCTTTTATCAACTAAGGCCTTGTTTGAAATGTCCTCCCTAAGGACTTGGCGCCGGTATACCTACAGGACAGTGAAGCGATAAAGATTTCTGAGATCCTCGGATCCTCTTCTAATCTAATACCTTGAAAACAATCTCACAAACCTTTCAGGTGGCCCTTCCTAGGCGACCTACCCTGCTCGGGTTTAGCGGCAATGTTCGACCGTGGTCTCCTGGCCTATCATTATATATGTGGCTAAGGAACTCTATCGTTCTCCTTCCCCTGTTGGGTGTTTGCTGATAGAGAGGGAACGTTTCACTGCCTCCCATCCCCTATAAGTGGATTCGCTTTCAGTTCGTGTGAGCTTCAGCGTCACGAGGCCAGTCTCATTCGGGGGAGCACTTTAGTCATTTAGCGTGCTGCTGCTGCGTTGACCGTGGTACGGCGACGTGATGGCGATTAATCTCGACATTGAAATTGGCTTCGCTTCGATGGGGGCAATCACTTTGAAACTATGTGGCTCGTGATTTGATTAGTTCTACATATGATTGTGTGGCGCGTGATTGCCTGGCCTTTGGGCCTGGCAATGGCGTTGCTGGTGGTCGCGCTGGTGGTCGTGCTGATGGTTGCTCCATCGTACAAACGGCCAGTGATCATTCCAAGCTGACCAACGTCAATCGGCCGCCTTCCATTCTCATAGAAGATTAGCATCTACACTCGACCGTCCTCGACGTCGTCCACAATGGCGACCTTTCTCCGGGTGGCCAACCGGTGGGCGACTTTTGACGCCTGCATCTGGTGGTGCGAGAGATTTCCGCAGGATTTGCAGGCGTTAGCTCTTTTCTATTTTTAAACCCCAATGAATTATGTTCCATTTCAGCATTATTTTCATTACTCATAGCATGTTGAATCGCATAAATTTAGCTTCCGTTTTCAATTCCTTATAATGGTTAGAGACGCAGGGGAAATTGAAACTCGCTGAAAAAACCCGTAGAGTTGACGGGTTGTCTACCAGTAGGTTTTTAGGCCCATTTCGGTGGAATTATATCCCTTCACGCGGTAGAAACGCAAAGGATCTACGCTAAGGCAAGCGGAACTTTCCCTTTCTTCCATCCCTTGAAGGCTTTTGGGTAGAGACGCAGAACAAGTTTATCTGTTTCTTTTCTCCCAGGACTACCGTCGTGGAACATACTTGTTTTTCCACTTGCATGGTTTGTTGAACCAATTAGTTATATTTATTAGGCATACGATGTCAGAGACGCAGAGGAACTTTGTATCTCTGGAGTGACATAAGCGAGAGATTTCATCTGAGTCAAGCACTCCTTTTCAAGAATTTCAGCTCCTATTTCCAGCTCCTATCTGATTGAATAAGAGCACCTGAAAATAGTTAACAGTAGATACTTGTTTTTACTTTTTCCTTCAGTTAGCTAAAGGTACAGACGCAGACAGGTCAAAAAACTCTGCTTCTCTGGCACGACTTGTCCTCCCTGTTCGAAGAAGGTTGTCCATTTAGGTGACGTGGAATTTGCTTATTATTTTAAACCTCCTAAGAATTTCCATGGTAGAATTTCCCCCTCTTACTATTCCAGTAGTACTCCCAGTGTGGGCATATTAGCTCCCCGAAAGCGTGGAAGCTTACCTGTGCCTTTAGGTCTGCCCTAAATTACCTTCAGGAAAACATTCTTCTCCCACAAACGATTTCTTGCCTTTCCACAGGAATCTCGGCTAGAGACGCAGAGGATATCGGTCTACCTGGTCTCTAACTCTCGGCTACCGTAATCCGTTAGAGGAGCAGCTCTCCTTTTACACTCCATAAATTCTTTATGAATAGTCAGCAATATATGTAAATATTTATGGATGAATATGGGAGGTCCCACAATTTCCCACTGTGAATTGTGCTAGCACGGAGAATCTGTGATGATTTGCTTAATTTGAAATCACCTGCGACGTAGATAACTATGTGACCGAGCTAGCTGTCAGTCACAAAGAAGAACCAATCGATAAATCGATCAATGTATCGATTTGGCCGCTCTTTCTCTGTCAACATTCCATTCTCTGATCCGATGAAAGCGAATCATCCCAGCTGTTCATCAGCGGTGATGTTTCGTAATTCATGAAGCTCATGCAACTACTGTGTGAATGATGTGTCCTGCGTCACTGATGTACTGTGTACTCTGCTTCTCTGCACTCTAGCTTCCATTGTCTATTATGATAGTCCGGTACCTTCATTTTCTTCCGTAATTCACTACAACTGACTGGCACTGTTCAGTCTTTGAAGTGATTTACAGGTGTTTTTCTTCGTATGAGTTCGTCTTTATTCGTTGAACTACAGTAATCCATCATATCCGCTCTCCTGGTGGTGTAATTGCGACTTCTGACTACCGTAATCAAATCTCTATTTACACAATTGTTGTCATATCTTTCTCGTCATGAATTGAATTTCATTATGTTGACGTAGTTATTTCAAAAGAATTCTTTGATTCTATAATGTCGTCTTTGAGATTCCGCTACCGTACCCCGGCAATCTTCAAATTTGATTTATCTTCCTAGCGGCGCTGCTGTATTGAAAACTTCTAAGAGATATCTACGTTCCTTCAATCATTTTCCATTGATTGTCCATCAATCGATATATTGATCTCTGATATTATATCGCTGTCGTTTCTCGCATCGTCTCTTATCAGCGCTGCTGTGTTGCAACGGTCTTTGCTCTTCGGCATACCTCGAGATCTGCTCGCGTCGTCGTTCTTGTAACTCTCCCGCATATATTGATTGATATTGATCGGTGTAATGTCATTACAAAATATCGATTTCATTTTTTTCAGTGTGATGAACACTCTGATGCAGATGGGTCCAATGATGGTAATGGAGGGTCCAAACGGTATGCATCAAGCGTTTCCACAACCATCGCAACATATTCAACAACAACCGCCGATCACTTCCAGTATGAACAGATCACAAAGGTCAGTCGATCGATCAATATATTGATCGATTCAGCTTTTATAAAATGTTGACGTTGATTAATGGCATTGTGACACACTGTTTCATCTCCGCACAACGAATGAATCAGATCGCGAAGCGTTGCAAATGCTCTGGTCCGTATCGTTACGAATCGATCGGTAATTCGGGAAATTAATCAATAATTGATAAACTGATATACATGTACAAGTTAGCATTACCGGCAAGTATCACCCGGTATCGAAATTATAGACGTCTCGATCTCTGTGATGGTAAGCGCTGCGAAGTAACTATTTGTCCCTATAAGATGCAGTGGATACATTAAAGGGCGATATTTGTCGAATTTTCGACCAGTTTTTTAGGGCTAAAAATTAGGATAATATTTGTACAGGTCGTACACGAAAATGCTTGTCAATCAGCAGTTCCCCGAAATCGTGAACAATATGTTCACAGCTGGTTGGCTTCATTTATAGGAAAACATGTAAATGAAGGTTAGAGGCAGAGAAGCAGAGACAGAATCAGAGACGCATGGGAGAATCGTTGTACGATTAGGTCTATGAAAAATTACATGTGTCGAATTAAAATGTTCTCTCGTGAAGGACGTTCTATGAAGGACATCGAATCAACAAGGTTACCTTGTAAGAATGTCGCTTTTCTCTGTCCGAGTTTTTTTTTTCTCGGCTGGGATTACATGACATGGCAGAAATCCTCTGCGTCTCTGATCTCGACGATCTTTCGCGCTACGTCATCAAACCTGCTGGCGCTATGGAGTTTCGCATTCCTTTTGGGTTTCTCAAAAAAGTTACCGGAAGGATCAAAGGACCTGGAAACTGTCGATTTCTCTGCTCCCTCTCGCCGAGACTAGTTTCCATATCTGACTTTTCTTTTTTCATACTGTAGTTATCTCGGAGACGAAGGTCATGTGACCCGACTTTAAAAATCTCATGAAAGATTGGTTATTATTGATTAATTGATCGCTTTTCAGATGTGGTGTATGTCGTGGCTGTCAGTGTAAGCCATGTGGACAGTGCACGTACTGCCAAGATAGCCCACAATTCGGCGGTCCAGGCGTCAAAAAGCAGAGCTGTATCGAAAGGAGGTGTTTGCGTGTGTTAGAAAACAGACTACAGGTAATTGTGAAGCCTTGAAGGCTTTAACCGCCCCTTCAAGTCACGAAAACTTCGAGTAATATGAGCTTCGTTTCAGAGAGATGCGCCCACGTTCAAGGCACGTGTCGGATGTAATCAATGTGAAGATTGCAGAATGCCCGATTGTCAAATTTGTCTAGTCTGTTTAGATAAAAGGTGAGGTCCTGAACAGATCAGACCTACCAGAGCTACCGTAATACAGTGGTCTTTAGTGAAGGTCAATTGAGTTTTC